CAACAGTGCCCCCGGAACTCCATGCATTGACAATATGCTGGAGGTTTCCGGGAGCTGCTTGGTTAAAAGCTACATGAGATGCTAGTGTGACCCTGAGTTTTAGAAGTGTGGAAACTGAGGCAGAGAGAGCTAAAGAATGCATTCAGAGTGACACGGTGGAAAGGAAAGCCTGGATCCTGGCATTTGCAGCATGAGGGGCTGGGGATGACTGGTTTGTGTTTTAGTTTTGAGATAGGATCTTGAAATGCACTGTAGGCTGGCCTTGCACTCAGAGCAATCCTCCTGCCTCTAACTCCCAAGTACTGAGATTACAAATGTGGGCTGTCATATCTGCTTCTTTTAGTTGATGTTGTTGACTGAAATACTACACCCCTCTCAGTAGTCTTTCACGTCATTGTCTGAAGGCGAGCTCCAATACATGGCTCCTACACAATTTTTTAACATTTATTTGTTTATTTTGTGTGTGAGGGTATGTTTATCATCGTGCTACGGTTTGTGTGTGAAGGTCAAAGGCTAATTTTGGGAGCTGGTTATCTTCATTTACCATGTGGGTTCTAGGGAACAATCTTGGGTGATTAGACTTGGGTGCAGGCAGTTTTCCCACTGAGCCAGCAGGGTGGTCCTGCACAGAGCTCTTCAAGACACACGTACCTTCCCTTCTCTGCCTTGGGAATAGGGCTGTGCGACAGCACCTTGGAGAAACTATTTAGATTCTAAGAACAGCTGCTTGTCCCAGTGGCTCTTCTAGATGTAGGTTCTGTGACCCTGATAGAAAAGTAAACACTAAGGGCAGACATGAGCACAGGCTGACAGCAAAAGGGGTAGCCACCGAGATATAAAAGTTCCCTAAACCTGAGTATCGGGTGGGTCTCCTTGGCAGATGTGATATGTCCTTTAGAAGATCTGGCCTCCTGATGGCCATTGACATCTAAGTCTCCATTTCCCTGGATTGTCTTCAGGACAACTTTAATGGGGACAGCAAGCTTGCCCACTCATGTCCCTGTGAAAACTGAAGCAGGGCAGGGGAGGCTGAAGGAAATAGTTCCTAGGGTCTACCTGATCCGTTCTTGTGACTTAAGGTACTCCCATTAAAATGTAGGTATAAACTACTCCTAGCAAGTTGAAAGAAACCACTGGTCTTATTCCAAAATTCTTATGGAAGATCGATCATCCCGATTCCTTAGTCTGTTACCAGAGTAAAGTTACAGCATTTCCAGGGGCCATCTGATTCTGATGCACAGTGCCACAGGTAGGGCTGGTCCTAGCTGAGTAATAAAAATTCTTAGTGAGCTAGAAAAAAAAACAGGAGAGGATCCCTATACAGTTTTGTCACCAATGATGAGCTGACTCACCTTGGCTGAGTTTCAGAAAGTTCCTGGAACTTACTTACATATTTTACTGTATCACAAGTCAAAACTGGTCTGGTTAGTACCATTTAATCAGCATCAGGCCATGCCCCTTGGATAAGTAGATCCATGACTACATTCAGCTGTGGTCAAAGTTCTGAGAATTACCAACACTGATTAGATCCTAACCATATCCACGCAGCCCACGTCAAAGGCAAAGGGCACAGAAAGTGTTCTTAGGGCCTCCTGGTGGGAGCTGACATCACCAACTGAGGACTCTATCCCACCATTCCTGTGATACCAGGTCAGCAGTCAGGAGGCCTTTATTCAGAATTGTGAATATAATTCCCAGTGTGCCTACAAAAGCCCATATGACTAAAAGGAAACTAAATTCTTAAGTATATCTGCAGACTTTCACAGTTTCTATGTGCCCAAGCAGTCCAGTTCCTGTGCTGGCCACCAGAGACACAAGTATTTATTACAGGCTAGGATGACAGATAAGGATAGGGACACAGGAGGGACTGTCTGTGTGCCAAGGATTGCTGTTATTCAGGTTCAAGACTTACAGATAATCTATTGTGCCACAATTTGCTTTCTTCTATTAAGCTATAGCATTTAACATTGGCAAACATCTACAGTGTTTATTCTTAACAACACCACAATAGAGTCACAAAAAAGAACCACACAAAACCCAACAGTGTTGTAAGTAAGTTGGTTGGGCCACATTCATAGGCATTCTTACTGCACGTGGCCTCATGTGCGGGTCTGTGGGTTGCTGGCTGCACACACCTAGTGCAAGAGAAAGGTCCAGAAGATAAAGGCAGTTTAATTGACCAAATCCACCTGTTCCCTATTCTTCTGAGAAGCCAGGTTCACACTGACCCTCACACAGCAGAGGGTTCACACCCTCATGCACGCAGATACCTTCCATTCAGGCCATGGATCTCAGGGTGTGTTTCTCTGGACACAGCGCCCTACTCATAGTCTTGGAAGAAGCTCCCATAAATCCCATTGAAGAACACAGGAGGCCTCTTGACAGCTCTGGTGTGTGAAGGAGAACCGAGCTCAAAGCTGAGCACTTGCTGAGCACAGCTGCTTTGCCATGGCTCAGAGAGCATCAGCTGTGCAGGCCAAAACAACACAGAGATACAGGCCAGGGCTAGGATACAAGAAGTGGTAACAGGAAACACAGACTCTGTAGTGAGGTCCCTGAACTTGAAACATGGGTTTCACCTTGAGCTACCCTCTAGGAAGATTTCATATTGACTAAGCACCTGGGTCCACAGCCAAGAGTTCATGTGTTAAACATACAAACAGATACACAAACAGAAGAACAGACTGGGTTTGGAGAGATAGCTCAGTGAGGAAAGTGCTTGCTTACTCTACAAGCAAGAAGATCCAAGTTTAATCCCCAGAACTCACATAAAAATGTTGGGTGTCAGCCGGGCGGTGGTGGCGCACGCCTTTAATCCCAGCACTCGGGAGGCAGAGGCAGGCGGATCTCTGTGAGTTCGAGGCCGGGCTGGACCGATAGCCTCCAAAACAATACAGAGAAACCCTGTCTTGTAAAAACCAAAAAAAAAAAATGTTGGGTGTCCTCATGCATATTTGTAAAGCCAGCACCGGGTGGGCGGAGACAGGAAGGCCCCCCAGGGCTTCCTGGCCAGCCAACCTAACCTACTTAGTAACTTTCAGGCCAGTGTGAGGACCCATCACCAGGAAGGAGAGGGGCAGAACCTGAAGAATGACATTTGAGGTTCCATCTTGACCTGCACACACATGCACACGTAGGCACATGCATGCACGAGCCCGTGCACTCCCATATAAACATACACATGAACACATATGCAGACACACAAACATTTAAAATATGTACACAGGAACGTCTTCTCTCCGCATGGCCAGAATCATGTGAACTTTAGATGCTTATATGCTTGGTAGTGTGGATTTTCTAGGGCTACATGGTCAGTGTCTTTCACCTAAAATCAATGATAATGAACCAGTAACCAAATGCATCCAAAGTAGTGGAGACTGTGACCCCCTCCCCAGGAAGCAGGAACCTGGGAAATGCCCCACCAATGAGAGCAGGACAGACAGTATATATGGAGTGCTCAGCACAGGTTTGATCCACCCAGCAGGATGAGGTCTCGAGTCCAAGGAGCAGAGTCTAGAGTGTTCCAGAGTTCTGAGAGATTAAAGGAAACTGCGGCCCTTGGCTGGGGGCCAGCATAAGAGCCACGGGTGGCCTGGGTGGTTGTAGGCAGTGTCAGCTCAGCACAGCTGTCAGAATCTAAGACTCTTGGTCTGTGTCCAGGGTAACCAGAGGTCACTTATCTACTTCACATGTACACTTATCCATGCCCCGCCACAGGGCCTCTATCCACCTCACTCAGAACAGAAGATAGCAGGGACTTTACACCTCTCACGTGGTGGGCATCCTTTACAGGATGTCCTGATTGCTGCTCACAGAGCTCCCAAAGTCCACCTCTGAGGAGCAGAGCTCAAGGCTTGGGTTCACACCAATGATACTGTCTCAGGGAACATTCACACAGACACGTGATCAGAGAGACCAGCGAGCAACCTCGCTGTGTAGTTACTGCCCTTCATCACTCACTGTCCTTCGTGTTTTACATTCCTTTTCTTTTTAATTTTAAAAACTTAAAAGATATGCACACACACACAAAAATGGCTTTCATTACAGCATTTTATACTTATACTTATCATGTATTTCACATGATGGGCTATTTAAAAAGTCAACTGATCATGTAGTCCCAAACGTTTCACTCTCTAGTGGGCCATTTTAAAAAGCAAAATCAGGGAACTCACGAGCAAGGAGCAGATTGGGATTCTGGGGACCCCTAACATTACCACCCTGCTCCCATACAGTTAGGGACCCTCTTGCTTGCCTCCCAATGAGTAAACAATCTCTGATCATGTTCGTTGAGAGAAGGAACACTTGGAAATGTGGCTGAAGGCCCAGGAAAGAGGATTAGACCAAGATTTACGGTTTACAAGGGTGAGAGCCTTGTGTTGGGACATAACATCCAAGAGACCATGGTGAGTGGTGAGGTTTCTGGTCCAGACGGCAGCAACATCTGCTGCTAAAAGCAGGTCTTGCCTGCCAGCTGTAGGATGTATCCTGGGCAGGAAGGATGCATGAGGAACACGGCTCCTGTTGTCGTGAGAGACTCAAGACGCAGGGTCTGCTTTCCTTGGCATTTGGTTAGCTGCCCGTTTGTCCAGGTTTAGTTAGGGCGTGTCTTTCACCTCTCAGACATTGACTCACTAATTTGCATGCTAAGTTGCTCATTCCACAAATATTCCCGACATGTCTAATGTGTGTTACATGCTATCTTAGGCACTAGAGAAGACCAGGGGAGAAAAGAAGCCCTTGTCCTTCCCAGTGGGGAACTGGAGCAGCATACAGAATGTCTGAAGTTGGTCACAGCCAGGTCACTAGCTCAAGGACAGGGATGGTATCTTAATAAGATGGTCAAGGAAAGCCCAAGAGGGGCAGACGGATGGAGGGGTGGGAGCCATGGCCCCACTTTGAGAGTGGGGGATGTTCTCTTTGTAAGATGTGACGGAACAGCACGTGCGTGGACCAGGCAGTGCCAACCTTGAGGTGGCTGCGGTGCCCCCAGGGGTACTCACCTCCTCCAGCCTCCGCCTCTGCTCTTTCTGCTCCTCAATGCGCTTCTGGCGCTCAGCCAGGAGCTGCCTCTTGTGCTCTTCATTCTCCCGCTGCTGCTGTTCCAGTTGCTGCCGCCGCAGAGCCTCTGAGCGCTCCTTGTTGGCCAGCTGCAGTCTCAGGAAGTCTCGCCGCAGTGTTGACTCCCCTGGTAGGTTGAGAATGGAGCTGTGGACGGGGAAAGAACAGTCTGTGATGAGGGCCATGGCAACTGTGGGTTCTGGGGGTGGACGCAAGAGAACAGGGCTTTGCCCCCTTTTCAAAATGGCTATTGCACACATCTGCTGTCCCCACCCCTAAAGGAATATCATACCCTCGTCTAGTCTGTCCACCCCACTCCCCCCACCAGTGCATGACAGAGATGTGCTTCATAAGATTTTAATGTTTGTGCAAGCTCCAAGCCATAGGCAAGCTTATCTCCACATGTAAGAAGAGCTAGCAAGGGCTATGGAGATGTCTCAATGGTTAAAGAGCTTGCTACACCAGAATGAGCCTGAGTTCATATTCCCAGAGCCCACAAAGAAAGTTGGGTCCAATAGCATATGTGTCTGTGACACTACGTTCATTTGGGAAGATGTGAGGCAGAGACAAGAGGATTCTGGAAGTTTGGAGGCCAGCTAGCCTGCTGTACATAGCCACCAACAACAAGGGACTCTGTATCCAAGATGGTGGAAGGAAGACCAACACCAGAGGTTGTTCTCTGATCTCTACACACACACACACACACACACACACACACACACACACACACACACAGAGAGAGAGAGAGAGAGAGAGAGAGAGAGAGAGAGTGAGACAGCAATAGAGCAAGAGGGCCCTTACTTTATTCACAGGAGCAGATGCCCTTCATGCTCCTCCTTGACAGCTTACCCCAATGCCCAACTGGCAGATGTCACACTGCTCAGGAGAAGATGCAATGGGCCAGGAGAAACAAGGCTTAACACAAGGTTGACAAGGAGCTAAGATCTCAAGCCAAGTTTATGCAGTCAGTGGTGTCTAGGGCTTATCTCAATACACCTCTGCTGCAGGGCATGGTTCTAGCCACAAAACACACGCTTGAGACTGTACCAGAGGAGGCTGAGTCTGAGATTGTGTTTAACATAGTAGGTATTTAGACAAAAGGGGGAAGTGTTGTGGGAACTCTTCCACCAATAGTTTTGGGGTACTGGCTTTAGGGCATGGCCTGGAGTGCTATGTGAGGGCTGAAAATGTTGGAGAAGGAAGTGTTTTCTTTCTTGCTCTGGCGTTTTCAGTCTTCGGGGAGCACTGCAGGCCACGCCCTAAGGCCAGTACCCCAACGCTATTGGCAGAAAGAATCCCCACAACATTGAAGTGTATGTGTGCATGCACATGCATGTGAGTGAGTGTGTGTGTGTGTGTGTGTGTGTAGATGTAGAGGACATGAACTAGAGGGTTATTATTGGTGGTCCTAGGCTTCCAAATGCCAATCTAACTATAGGTGGCCAACTGAAAATTACAATCTCTGGTTCTTCAAGTCAACCTATCATGGAAATGGAGGATGGCTCCCAGAGGTTTGTTTAAACCTAGCCTGTTAAATGAGTGGTACTCCACCTGTGGGTCACAATCCTTGGAGGGTCAAATGACCCTTTCCCAGGGCTTGCAGATCAGATTTTTGCATTATGATTAATAACAGAAGCAAAATTACACTTATGAAGTAGCAAGAAAAATAACTTTATGGTTGGGGGTCACCACAACATGAGGGACTGTATTAAAGGGTCATGGCATAGGAAGGCTGAGAATGACTCCCTTAAATGTTGGTAAAAGTTTCTGCCTAAAACAAACCCACTGGACGTATAATTCCTCGTTTCTGCTATGGGGCAGGTACTGGGGCAGGCTGTTGGGAGATTGCATCAGGTACAAATTAGATAGAAAATAGAAATGGGGGTTGGAGCTCATAGGAGGGAATTCTGAACAGCATCCCATTCCTGATTGTTCAACTGGATGGGCTATTGTGAAACACAGGCCTCAGCTTTCCCAAATCAGCCTCACTTCTTAACTGACTGACACTATGAACATTCCAGTAATAGATCCTGGTTAGTCCCCGAAAGGAGCTAGATATGAGGTGCAGACAGGTGGGTTCCTGAGGTTCATTTATGAGCTAGTTTGACCTGCTGTGCAAGCCCTAGGTCTAAAGGAGACCTTGTCTCAAAAACAAAACAAAAAGCAAAGATCCCCAAAACCTAAACAATACAAGATCCCCAATGTTGACTTATGGAGGATGGAGCCCACGGTTGAGGTTTCTACCCCACCCACAACTACACACACATGCATTGACATGAATATGCCCCACCTCCAAAAACCCCACAACCATTCACCAATATCTTAGGCACATGGTGATCAGAGTGTCCCGTTGTGGTTGAATGCCCTTGAGACTGCTGAAAGATTGTACTGCAATATCCAAAATTAAGGTACCAGGGGATTTTCCCACCCATGTGCACACAGTCCTCAGCTTCAATATGATGTCATTTACATTAGGCTCTTGACACCCCTCAGTGGGGTTTTCTAGAGGATTGTAGGAAGAAATACCCTGGAAGGAAGACTTGGTCCACCGTGATTTGAGAATTAAAAAGGCCTCACTTTGCTCCATGAATATACCATGTCCCTCATAGATACTCATAAGAAACTCTTTAAGCTCCACAAGATAGAACCCACAGGGCTGAAACCCTTTTGGGGTGGTTCACTCTATTCAGAGTGCTTGCTTTGCTTTGTCAAGTAAATTTCAACTTGAACTATGTTTCTCTACTGAATTCTTTCCTCTAAGAAGATAAAAATCCAGAAAAACCCCTGTAACAGAGGAGCATATTCTTCTTCTAGAGTTACTTTCTTGTGAGAAAGGCAGGCAAATTATTAGAAATAAAATATCAAACATTCATAGAAAAGACAGAAATGGTAGTTTAAAGGTGTGGTGGTTTGAAAGAAAATGGCTCCCAGTGGGTGTAGCACTAATGGGAGGTGTGGCCTTGTTGGAGTAGGTGTGGCCTTAATGGAGGAAGTGTGTCACTGTGGGGGTGGGCTTTGAGGTCTCCTATGCTCAAGCTACAGCCAATGAGATACACCACTTCCTGCTGCCTGTGTAAGCTCCCGTTCCAGCACCGTGCTTGCATGGATACCACCATGTCCCACCATGATGATAATGAACTAAACCTCTGAAACTGTAAGCCACCCCAGTGAAATGTCTTTCCTTTGTAAAAGTTGTCGCAGTCATGGTATCTCTTCACAGCAGTAGAAACCAAAACTAAAACGTAAAGGTTAAAACTTCCAGTGGTAAGGAGCTGAGGTAAGGATTAGGGCTCTGTTCCAAATGGGGTTATCAGCAGGACCACTCCAGGGAGGTGAGAGTTGATGGAGAGGAAAGCTACTCCAGGCAGAAGGGAAAGCGAAACTAGTCCTTGGTGGGAACAGGCTGGTCCTGCAGGGGCAGAGGCAGCGAGGAGTGTGGCACAAGAGTGGTCAGAGACAGGCCATCAGTGAAATATGTGGTCATGGGAGCCACGCATACAAAGGCTGTTGGTTGAGTCATAACGTGAGAGTTCCCATTGGCTTCACCATAGTCTGCATGGTGTAGAAGAGCAAATGAAGCTAACAACATTTCATGTCGGAGGCTTGGCCCAGCAAGGAGCAGTGGGATGAACCTCAAGCAAGTATTTGGGGACGGAATTAATGAAGCCCTTGGAAAGATCTAATGTGCAGGTTGAAGGATGACTTGCAGTTCCTTTTGGGCTGCTGGTGACAGTGGTGGCAGGAAATGGAATGAAGGTTTTGGGATGGGGGGCAGTTGACAAGTGTATCAGTTTGGTTTTGGTGAGCTGTTAGACTCTGTGTGAGATGCCACCATAGATAAGGTCAAGAGCTCCATTGAGGACATTCCATGGGCAGTCTGGGAGTCTCCTGTGGATCCCCTCTACAACTCAGTGTCTTGTGAAAAATTCTACAACAACTTCTAAATGGTGCTGTTTATACACACAAGTCACATGCTATGAGCAAAGGTTGGGAACCTAATATCACATATACACAAGGATGCCTCATAAATCTTCACTGATATTGAACTAATACCAGGAGACCTCGGTTGTATTAATGACTCAATTACTAACTCTGTGTGTGACCTGGTGACATCTTTGAGTTGTTGTCTCACATCTAAAATGAGAAAACCATCATCTTTTTCTGTTTTAGGATTTCAAGAAGACTAATTAGACATGTTCAAAAAAATGGGACCTGGTGCATAATCTTCCCCATGATATAATGACATGTTATAATTACAGCTGCTGGCTCACCAAGTGACCCCTAACACACACAAAGTCTTGGGAAGCCTGGGTGTTTCATTTCTTCAAAAAACAGTCAGAGGCCTGACACATCCAGCTGGGCTGGAAGCAAAGTGTGACATCTCTGCATGCAGGGGCCAGGGTCCTTTGCTCTAGAGATGCTCATTTTGCATGTCACTGTTTGACAACCATTGTCTTTATGCAGCTAACATGTTCTGATGGAAGAAAAGGATTCTCCTTCTGTCTTTAACCATGGGAAATCCTGTGGCAGACAAGAGAAAAACTAATGGCCCTGTGGGTTCAGTTCCAACCCCTCAGGGTAGCTTAACAAGAACCAAGCTTGTCAGGTTTACGTTGACTTAAAACACTGGTTCTCAACCTTCCTCAGGCTGCAACTCTAACACAGTTGCTCATGTGGTGCTGACCCCCAACCATAAAATTATGCCTTTGCTATGACATAACTGTAATTTTGCTGTTACAAATTATAATGTAGACATCTCATGTGTAAGATATCTGATATGTGATCACCAAAGGGGTTGTGCCCCACAGATTGAGGACTGCTGACTTAAAATGAGACCAAGAGAGAATAAACCCTTTCCTCCCCAAGCTGCTTTTGGTCAGTGTTTTGTCACAGCAACAACAGCGAACTAGGATAGCCTTCACATGTATAGACATGTGCTACAACCCCCTACATCAACAAGCACACACATCAACACAAACAGGAAGGAAGGAAATATGTTTAGTTCATTTCTGCCGCATGGTCCCTCAGCAGAACAGGACACTGTTGGTGAGACAGCAACTGGTCCTTATGCTGCAATCTGAGGGCTAGATACCTTGGAGTGCTGGAGAGCAGGGACCCATCATGTCTAGCGACTTTTCTGCTTGTGCATTAGCTCTACAATTAACAGTGTATGGGCCATGGGATGCTCAGACTGCTGCTGTTCGTGGAATCCTTTGACCTCATAGAAATCCAGCGCCATGAGCACACCAGCCTCCCATAAATACAGATGGGAAGAAAACTGGGCTCAAAAACAAGTAAACCTCCAAATGTGGAGATGACATTAAAGAGCACTGGGTTCCAGGAGGACAACAGGATTGATGTGAACATTTCTATCAGGGTCCACCTCCAGAGGACAATTTGATTTTTCAGAATCACCTCCTGCAGGGTTGGTCTGTATGAAATATCAAGGCACATGGCCACCTGAATGGGCTTCCCAGAGTGATGACTTAACAAGCTGAATGACTCCAATCTGAAAATGTCACTTAGCTCTCCCCAAAGTCGCAATTTTAAATACTTTCAGCACTGCATTAGCCAGATAATTGCTTCCTTCCCACTCTCATATCTCCATGTGTGAGGAAACAAGGTCGTGAATACAGGCCATACATCTTGGTGGACAAGATAAAGAATATGCTGATTTGCACATTTTTTATAAGAGTCTGCCTAGGGACAATTTCACACATTAATGAGTATGTATGCGGGCACTACATTAACTCCTGGTGCATTCTTTAAGACAGAGCAATAAATCAAAAGGAGAGTGCATTCCAAGTAAGCCCGGGCCAGATGGTGGCAGGCCCGGCCTTCTGCCCCATACCTGGGCTCCCCGGAGTCGTTCTCTTCCTCTTCCTCCTCACTTCCACTGTATTCATACTCAGTCTCGTCTGGAGAGAGAGCGCAGGGTGTTAGTGTAGAAGATGCTGCTGCTCAGAACAGACCACCCCTCTGTTTCATAAACTTCCATGAGCCACATAACTGTGGCCAATGGACTCATCTGTGGCCCCAACCCCATACGATGATGGAGCTGGAAATTCTAGGAACGCCGACGCTGCCCTAACTTCACAGAACAATGCAGACTCACCTGTCTGTGACAGTGCTGCCGTGAGTCAGCATATGAGAGTACATTGCAAGGAAGCATGTACAGTTTGTCCTACTTGATAGTACCACATGGTCTCTATACTAACCTATACTAACAACTTAGGACATGTGATGTACAGGTAGGTAGACTCATGGTTTAAAAAAGAATAGGTAAATGTCATTAATTCACTAGGAACATTCATTTAATTCAGTAAAAATAATAAACAAGCTATTGTGTAATAATAAGATCAAATATTTGCTTTAGACATGATCAAAATATAATGAGAAAGACACAAACAGGAATGTATGATTGCCATTTCCATGGTTATAAAGAAAAGAAATGAATGTTTGGCAGGCATCTCACACATAAGCAACTAGTGTTAGGTATTTTATATTTGTTCTCTCATTTACTTATGATAATAGTTTTCTAAAACAAGGGAAGTAGTCAGATTACAAACTAGCAATGCCTTCATATTAGTAAAAGGTCAATCTGGGACATATACTTAGAATTCAATATTGATATGTTTCAGCGTGAAAACCAGTGTCTCTCCCAACACATTACATCCTGAGCAGAAGCACACAGAAGGCAATGGGGAGCGAGAGTGGGGAGCAGCTGTCATTCAGAACGGAGGAGCGGAAACATTAAGCATTGAGGAGGTAGTGAGCTGGGTCTTGGAAGGCCAGTGACCCTTTTGCTGGCAGCAGCTGGAAAGACAGGAAAAATGGCATTGCGAATCATATGCCCCCATCGAGGCTGGAAGTGTTATATGTTCAACCCTGGAAGCTACGTGTCTGGATGTGGAACCAAGGCCACCAGAAGTACAGTGACTCCCAGATGGTGGGACCAAGGCCACCAGGGGGACAGTGACTCCCAGATGATGAGACCAAGGGCACCAGGGGAAGAGTGACTCCCGGATCCTTATGTGCTGTGCTCAGTACTTTTCTACAGATGACAAGAAGCTCACAGAGAAGTCTTGAAGCAAGAGAAGATTCTCCTGGACTGTCACTTGCTTATAAATGTGGGTTATTAATTACAAGCCTGAAGACATTTGTACATCCCTTCAATAGGACTTGGATCACAGTTTTGCTGTATTTCCATTAGGAGGCAGTATTCACAATGAGAAAACCAGATTGGCTAAAAATCTATGTAGATATTAGAGAGATAATGAAGGAAACCAGTGTGGTGAGTTCAAATGTATTGTGTAAAGTCATATGTAAGCCTCATACATTCAGGTGAGCATTAACTTTTCACGTTACTTATTTTTAAAAAATGTTTTCACCAAATGTAAAGAGTCTGCAATAGAGTGTCTGTAACTCATACCAAACCAAAGTGTTCTCAAAATGGAAAAACAGAGAATTCAAAGTAACATATAGAACTTTTTATCTAATAGAGGAAACTATAGTGAACAATTATTCCAATTGCTTCTATTTTCTAAAGTAAAACTTTAACTTGTCAGTTTCCTTGATTTTAATATTTTATCAGAGCTGAGCTTGACTGCCTTTGCATTACAGGATTATATAACTCAGTAAAAAATTATATTCTTCAATTCTACCAATAGTGAGTCATATAAAGATCTAATGGAAAAGGTTTTTTCCTTTTTTTTCAAAAAGGATACTGGATGTGGAGACGTGGCTTAGCAGTTAAGACCACCTTTTACAGGACCAACATTCATCCCAGACCCACGTGGTGCCTTACAACCATTTGTAACTCCTGTTCCATGGGATCTGATGCTCTTTTCTAGCCTCTGTGGGTACCACACGCATAAGTGTTGTTCACTCATACATACAAATAAAATACACTGTATTTTTAATGTAAGAGTGGACATCAAAGTTTAACTACTTGATACAGGATTAAGCATTTTACAGATAATGTCTTATTTAGTCTTTGCAATGATGTTAGGCAAGAAACTATTATGTCATTGTGATTCCCTGGTCCTTTTGTAGGGATGAGAAAATGGGTGAATTTCACTCAATTGTTAAGAGTCATGGAATGCGAACCCAGAATCTGAACTTAAAGCAGTCAGAACATTTAGCCTACTCAGTAAATCTAGAGTATAATACAATACCCCTTTAAAGTAGCAGGCATTTAATGATTGCATGTTTGATACAACGCTCTCAAATTCTGTTTTGAATATTGAAATACTCAACATTCATGGCATGGTACAAGATCTCAGTGACAAAGAGCAGCTGAAAAGTCAGAGATCTAGACCTTTCTGATACCAACCGACAGCCGTCTCTTTGGGTCTAGTAGTTCCTGCTGAGCTGGTCTCCAAGCTCTTTGGGAGCTCATGAACATCTTATCCCTGCTGGCCAACACTGGTGATGGAGGCCTCATGACCTCCCACTTCAGAGTCTCAGCTAACTGAACTCTTTCGGAGTCCTTGAAACTAGCTGAAGGAGAAGGGGCTTTGCTGGAGTCCTCCTCCCCCCTCGCCTTCTGCTGATGTCACCTGTCAATTCAGTCTGTTTTCCACCAGGCCTCTGCTCACACAAGTTTCTTCTGCCGTGTTATTATAAAGTCAAAGAAGCAAAACACACACAGTGAATGACTTCCACGTTGTATTGTCTGCTACCATCTGCTGTCCTTTATGCTAAGGACAGGGGAGTTGGTGGAGAAGAAGGAAGCAAGGAAAATCACAGTCACCTACTCTAGCCTCTGGTCTTCTACTCTCTTCCCCTCACCACACTCCAAAGGCTATCATTCTATCTTGAAACCGCCTCTCACTCCCAGTGCCTCCTGCTCCCTAACCAGCGAGTTCTTAATGCTTATCCTCCCCAGTCTTCCTTGTCATACCCCAAGCCTCCCTTCCTCCCTAACTTATGTTCAGCTGGCCATAAGCCCTGCACCAGAACATTCCAACAACTCAGGCATGGTACCAATGTCTCAAATCTAGGCTCCTGTACTTCCCACGACACAGAGATGACTATGGGAGAGGACTTTTGCATCTACAAAATACAGAAGTGCACTCAAGGTCCTTCCACTCAAAATCTGATTCCATGCTGCCAGCCTGGCAACCTATTGAGCCTTTTTTTTACCGACACGGTAAGAAATTCTTTTCTGATTTCTACATAACTGAATTAGAAACAAGTCTTGGAGCACAGAAACATAAAAGCTGCAAACTGTCAATATAGAAAAATGTCAGCTAGATGAATTCTGTATGTTGTCTGACGTGTAGATGTCACTTTTTGTAATGCGAATATTCATTTGAATTAACATAAATCACTTGTCATTTAAAGAGCTTCATAGTATTACTCCACATGGCTGTGTTTGGTGCTTAGAAGAGGAACTGTTGCTCGCGGATCTATTTTTTTCCATGGAGATATGCCTCCAATGTGATTTCATTGCACTGATGCCCGAGGCTGTGGCCTAACAAAGCCGTCTCTCACAGGAGAGAATAATACTCTGCCTTTTGTTTCCTTCTCTGAAATACAAAGGTGCAACTAACCCTTTTCTCCTCGCTTCTTCTTTGTCCTGTCAATGTGGTCCTTGAGCTGAATGCGGACCTGCCTCTCGTTAGGTTGGTCTCGTATGAATGGGTGCTTCATCAGTTGTTCTGTGGCTGGCCGCTGGCTGTGGTTCTTCACCAAGCAGCTCTCAATAAAGGACTGGAATTTTTTTGACCTGCCAAACAAAAGAGACGAATTCACAGATAAAATGACACCACAAAAGCAAAGCAAATACATATTTTGAAATATGGTCTTGAAAAGAAAAAGAAAAAGTCCATCCTGTGAGCACAGGGATCAACCAATCACAAATCAGTCTCAGTATATCAGTACAGTGAAGTTCAAAGGTCAAATCACAAGCAACATACACATATAGGTAACATACGCTCGTTATTATGTGCACGGGAACATTTTCACACAGGGAACACAACCTTACGCAGAATACTGGGGAAATGGCCTCTGTGGGAAGCAAAGAGTCACTGAAGTTATGTCCCCAGAAAGCCCCAATTTCCTCCTAGATAAACTAGATGATAAAAAGGTCTGGGAGCAGGGAAGGCCCGGGGGACAGATACCACACCAGTGATCAGGACAGCAAGGCCACAGTGCAGCAGAAGTTACTGTGGACTTTAGCCAGGGTTTACGGATGGGGCATGTGTATTCTTGCTGAAAGTTCCAAGGAATTATCCAGAGTTAGAAGTAATTAAGTTCCCAGCTTCCCAGCATGCCCTGGGAGCTCAGTGTTTCTTCCCAGAGATCTCAGAGGAACCCCTGGCACCTGAGCACCTTGCCTACTCAGGAGGGAGTGTTCTGTCTCTCCCTCCCTCCCTCCCTCCCTCCCTCCCTCCCTCCCTCCCTCCCTCCCTCCCTCCCTCCCTCCCTCCCTCCCTCCCTCCCTCCCTCCCTCCCTCTCTCTCTCTCTGTTGCCCTCCAGTGGCTGCACTGCGGATCCCCGAAGGATGGCTTTCTCAAGTTCTCCAACAGGAACATTTCCCAGAAATGCATGTATTTCAGGCTCTCGAAGTGTGTTCAGCACATAGAATACCACGTGCGACATGTCCTCCCTCATCCAAGTGCAAGAGGAGGGGTGGGAGGAGTCTCAGCAGGGAAAGCCTGAGGAATGGTGAGCAGCTGTTATCCTAGTCCCAGAGTGAGGGGGGAAGAGGGAGGTGGAGACTTCAAGGCCCCAAGGATGTCTCCTGAAGCGGGGGTCCAGCTCTCCCAGAGCAGATATCGAGACAGAAGCATCAGGAGAGACCCCGCATTAGCAATATGCAAGGAGAGAGCCGACTCCTGAAAGTCACGCACATGCACACGCACGCACACACCCATGCACACACACCCGTGCACAGAGAATAAATAAATGTTTAATATATATTACATATGTATAGAAAACAATGTCAGAGGGAGTACATATAGGATACTCTCTGCTTCTGCCTACATCAAAGCAATTTCTTACCTTATTCCATGTTTTTCAATAAATTTTCTTCCTACATTTCTGAACCATGTATGAGCTTTTAAAGTATCTTGCACACATCTAAAAGCAATGTAGCTTCCTTAGCCACTGGTTCTCTCACAGATGAATTACAGCTATACCATGGACTAGAAATGGTGACAACAGAACTGTGTGCCTGCTTCTGATGTCCTCCAGCCCAAGCTCTGTGTCTTCCTTACTGGAAGGGTTCGGAGGGGTCAGGAAATGCCCAGTCCTTGTCATACCATGAGCACACTACCTGCTCTACGTGTTCAGCCAATGAGTGCATGGCCGCACACACGGAGTGTCTGACAACAGTGTGGCCTGGCTGAGTTCCGGTCTGTGCTGATGAGAGACAGAAAGGGAGGTGTGGGGACTCGGGAGATGGCTCAGGGGGCCAAGTACTTGCTGTTTAAGGATGAGGACCCGAGTCTGGACCTCTAGCATTCACGTGCATAGCTAGCAGTCAGTGTGCACCTGTAATCCGTGTGCTGGGAACGGGGGCGGGGGCGGGGCAGGCAGATCCTCAGCGCTAACTGGCCAGCTAGTCTAGCTTATTAGTAAGTTCCAGGTTCTGGGAGATGGAAAGTGGTTGAGGCAGTCTCCTGGCACTGCCTTTGGCTTCCAAATATGTGTGCACCAATGTGCGTGTGCCCCTGTCCACATACATGTACTACATACACACAATACACACAACACACACATATATACAGAGACACAGTGAGATTGGTTGCAAGGAACGGTATGGTTTTCTTTCCAAGATCAATCAAAAAGAATTCTGAAACAAAGACTCATCATCTAAGGAACAGAACTGGAATCTTTAACATTAACCTCAAAAGGCAGTAGAAGCCCTGGCATGCAGCATGCAGGGCTGCTCTGGGGAGGAAAATCAGCATCAAAACGATGAAAACAAAAGTGACTTATGACGGAGAGCTAGCAAATATTCACAAGGAATGAAAGTCATTCTCGCATTCACTGGCAGCTTGGAAGAAGTGCTTACTTCTTACTGTAAAGTGCTCCGCTATTAATTAGAGGGTGATAAATAAAAGCAATCACATCCAATTTGAAAAATGAGATCCAGACCTCAATAGACTGTGCATTCCTTTCTCTGACGCTGATATGTGAAACAAAACAACCAGAAAAAGCCAGAAAACCCTCCTGCTCTCCAGGCAGAGCTGTTTGTAAGCAGTGCTCCATTAAAAGAACGAGCCACGAGAGCTCTGCTGCAGGGAAGGACCTCAGAGAGAATGGCCTGGCATCCAAAGGACAGAGACAGGGCACAGAGCTCTGTAAAGCTGGCAACATGCCTATGCTTTTTCGCAGGTGAAGAGAAAATGTAGCTCACTTAAAACATCCTCAAGCCCAGTATGTTGGTGAATTCCCATAATCCCAGCAACTTGGAAGGCTGAGGCAGGAGAATCACCATGAGTTCGAGGCTATAGGTTATATAGTGCATCTGAGGGCAACCAGGACTACACAGTGGGGCCCTGTCTCCACAAAATAAAACGAAACCAAAACACCCACATCTTCAAAGAAGGGGTCACTTATTCTCTAAGTTAGTATGGACAAGGAATCAATACATCTAAGTGCACATTTAATTACAAGTGAAAGTACTTGACGGGTGTTGAGCTCGCTGGGTGTTTCAATGAGTTCAAAGTAAACTTATGGTACTGCTGGTAACTTACCTTTGTCTCTTAGAATAATAATTTAAAAAGGCAACGACTTCTAGGAAGGTTAGCAATACAGCCTTGTCAAGAGTTAGATGGGGTGAAAGTGAAGGGTTGATGCTCAGGAGTCGTGGGTGGACAGGGAATGCCAGGGTTTGATGCTCAGTCTGAGGTTTGGCAGTCACCCTGGTTATTCCCCGAAGTCGCTGTACATCCACACGGGCAATTCTGGCCCTGTGCAAGTCCTCACTATCCCCTCTCTCTGCCTTGGCTTTATCACTTGCTGTATAGCTCAGGACAAATGGCTTCATTTCTCTGTGCCTATTTTCCTGGCTGCAAATACAAACGTCCCCAGAACGGATCTCAAAATACCACTGCAGTGATTAAGTTAATTCCTTTAAAAGTCATTAGCACTGGCACACAGCAGGGACATTTGACCATTGTCTGATCCTCACTGGACTCAAGGAAGAGAAAACTCTTTTCTAAGGATTGCAACACAGAAATGAGAAATTGTTTACCCCCGCTCCCCAATTCTGTTGAATAAAATGGGTACCGTGGAGCACTGTTCAGTGGCAGGGAGATGTTTGAAGGACAACTTTATCATGGTGGGAACATCACAGAACCCATCTGCTCAGCCAAGGTGACTACAGAGTCACCAGGTGGTCCAGTGCATTGCTAATGAAAATGTTATATAGCACATGAGTACACAAGGTTCATTAAGGGAACTGCTCTAGATACATTTGGTTTGGGAAAACTGATTAGATATGTTAATTTCGAAAGCTTGTGTTCCAGTTAGGGTTTTGATTTTGATGAAGGGTGCAGTTACAATACAAACTAGCAAATCCAATTTATTTCAAATATTTTGTGACATCTACTTTATAGCATCATTATTTTCTTTGAAACACACACACACATATGCACACATATACAAACATACATTGTACACGCTATGTGTGCATACATGTACACACTCTCCTCTCTCTCTCTCTCTCTCACACACCTTTGTTATTTCTTTTTTATTTATTTTTTTTAGTTTTTTGAGACAGGGTTTCTCTGTATTGTTTTGGAGGTTGTCCTGGAACTAACTCTGTAGACCAGGCTGGCCTTGAACTCACAGAGATCCGCCTGCCTGCTGGGATTAAAGGCATGAGCCACCAACGCCCAGCTCCCTTTGTCCTTTAAGACAAAAGTGCCTGACAGCAGGCATGGAGCTGTGAAAAATAACGGGGGTTAGGTGAATGTGGGCAGCATTGTGCACAGACTGGAGTCCCTGTCTGCGTAAATGGGAAGGAGGAGGGAACACAGCTGAAAATCAGGGCCCATCCCTCTCTGTCTCTTGACTGTGGACACAGGGTGACAACCGCTTCACACCCCCACTGCCATGATGGACTGTGTCCCTTTTTTCATTGTGAGCTTTGTCAGGTGTTTGTCGCAGAAATGATAAAGTGACCGATGCAGCCCCTTGGGAGACATGCCTGTGGATTGCCAGCTTGTTCCTCTGTGGAAGAGCTCACAACACCTCCCCAGAACAGTGAAGGGAGAGAAGACTCATCGATAGACAGGAAGTAAGACCCATGGCATACAGCAGGTTGTCCCTAGGATCTTGGCACACTCCAAGCAGAAATCTGGCAGGCAGCAGGCTCTGCAATGTCACTACTGCTTCCAGGGGAGGGAACTGAGCTGACTTCCCTCTCCAGGAGTCGGATCCAGGCAGGGGAGAGAAGAAATTTCAGAAGAGAGAGGAAGGGCCCCTGAGCTCTGTCACCACATGCTGTGTGGTGCCCAATGAAAGGCTGTTGCTGGGGAGAGAACACGGCTGGTACCACGATGGCCCTCTGAGAGGAAGGAGAGCAGGGAAGCTTTGCCTTCGGTTACCAATAGCAACTCACACTCCCCTTGCAGGTCTGGCAACTTAGAGACTGTCATTGCTTGTGGCTTTCTGTTTCCTTCCTCTGTGTGCAGTGTGCCTTTCCTCTGTTTAGCCGGGGTTGCTATGCCATTACCAGCTGACTGGTACTAATTAAGCCTGCTCTGTGTGGTGGGTGTGTGACTGTGGGTGCGGAAACAGGAGGACACCAGTCACGGGCCTGCGCCTTAAGTCACTGGAAAAGGGGCAAATGACTTGTTCCTTTTTAGTTGAACTGCCCAGGACTTACGTCCATGGGGGAAAAAAAAGCAGGAGGTCACAGGTGGTCAGGGATGAACTCCAACGCAAGAGGAACCAGAGATATAGGAAAGTATCAGGGGGCCATGCCACTTCTGTAGAGGGGAGTAGAAGAATTGGATTTTTGTTACAGAATAACAAGACATACAAACACTATGTAGCTACACAGATGACAGACAACATAGTAACCTGAGGACCTGTTCCCAAACCTCACCTTGTTACAGAATAACAAGACATATAGACACTATGTAGCTACACAGATGACAGACAACATAGTAACCTGAGGACCTGTTCCCAAACCTCACCTGGTCATTTACCATTCACATTCCTGTCATGCTTCATCATGACATTATGCATGCAGTAGCTCTCTTTAGAACAAGTCACCTTTTATCAGGATAAGCTTAATAAGAACACAGGTTATACCACTCTACCCAAAATAGGAAGCTGGCATGCCCTGTCATGAAGAGAAAGGGACTAAACAAAAAAACAAAACACAAAGAACCACAGTCTCCCATGCCAGAGATATCACATGAACCATTAGCAGGTCTGTGTGGGTGCACAGGGAACCACTGTCTTGAGGCATAGAAGCCAATCTAATGGGCTGACTCTAAATCATCCCCCTCTCTGATGAAATATGCCACACAGTCAGGGAAACACACTGCAGACATAAATCATGGCGTTTTCATGCCAATACTTGGGCTCCATTTTGGCTAATAGCTCTCTGCCTTGAGGATAGGGTTAACAACTTGCTGTACAGACAGCAAGTAACAAAGCTGCCAGTCCAAGATGAATGGTAGCATACAGAATGTCACCTACAAGCTGTGGTACGCATTTTTTTTAGTCTAGCCAGAAGGATGTAGGGTGGGATCTGAGGTAATTCAAAAACTGATCACAGAGAGGCTGGGCAAATGGCTCACTCAGTACAGTGCTCGTCATGCAAGCACAAGGACCCGAGTTCAGATCCCCAGCACTCACATAGAAAGCCAGGTGTGATAGCATGTGCCTATAATCTCAGCTCTGTGGAAACTGAGGCAGGGGGATTTCTAGGACTCGCTGGGCAGGTTTAATAAAACACGCTGTCTATAAACCAAAGTAGAAAAACAACTGTGAAAGATAACTGAGGTCAACCCATGGCTTCTACACTCAAGCACACAAATGTGAACCTGCAGACATGTTCACACACACACACACACACACACACACACACACACACAAGACAAGTGAAAGGAAAGATCATAGGAGAGCTTCACTCTCAGATCTGCAAAACACCAAAAGGCAAACTCACCACTTCTTAGACTTGAGGCGAGGCGCTGGGTTCCGGGGGATGAGGAAGAGGGCTCTCATGGGATGCATATCACAGAGGGCTGTGGGAGACCGGAAACAAAGACCGCAGTTAGTCAGAGGCCAAACGCACACTAGCATCCTGGCTGTGCAGAAAATGCTGCTCAAGTGTGCCTGTGTCCATAAGGCGCTTGCGAGTGAGGGGTCAGAAGACCCAAACACTCCTGCTTGGCAAACATTTCAAAGAGCTGGTGTCTAATTATATGGATCTCATACAATGCACATTTTAAGCAGATACTAACATTCCTAGGGACCATGCCTTCATGTCATATGGAACACAAGGGATGACAACTAGCAAGTTAAAGGGATGACAACTAGCCATCTCTGCTGTAGGTAGCCACCCGCCACACAGAATGTACAGCAGCAGATGACAGTTACGATTGGGGGTAGCTTAGGCAATTTCCTTTAACAAAAGCCTAAGCCACAATCTAAGAGGCATTTAAACACCCACAGCGCTGTCTCCCCATTGAGGCTCACACAAATACTGCTATCTCTGTACATTTCTAGGCTCTTTGGTACCCTGCCAGAACACCAAATGTCTCTAGGAGCTTTCAGATTGCACAGTGCGCCTTGATTTTTAAATCATCCAGCCCCAGGATACTAGGAGGTGAAGTCAGCTTATAAACGATATAGTCATGAATACATGCTTCATTCTTGTTTCAATTCACATATCCCATTGCCTACTCTCTAACAGTGAGAATACATTTTTTTCTTTGGTACCAAGATTGAGAATATATGCTTCCTCCACGCCAGAGGATTCTGTGGGCAGAGTTTATTTTTAGTCTTGTCTACCACTCAGGATGATAACACAGTTTTAAGAGTGTGGTATCCGAATTTTCTGACTCACAAATGTCATTGTGAACAAAGGAAATTTTGTCAACAAACTCCAAGTCAATCATGCTGCACATGGATTCAAGGAACTTAAGAAAAATTAGAAGGCAGTGATGATTCCAAGAGTCTTAAGTCTAAGAATGAACCGTCATGAAGGTCTTTGCAGGCCTTTTCAGTCCTGGGCCTGTGAGAAATGGATGAGAAGGTGTGACTGTGTGGGAATGTACGTGCAATGACCCTACTGGGGGAAATTCCTCTGTAGGGGGGTAGAGAAGGAGCCAGGGAGAGTCATGCCATTGTTACGTAATTCCAGCCTGGGGTGCAGGAGGGAATGTGGGCCCTACACTGTCTTGTAGTCCCAGGTAGGCTCAGCCAGGTATCAGGGTGTTGCTTGAACCACAGTTGCCTGCAAAGTGAGGTCTCATCTTTCAGGAAAGGGGGACAGTCAAGAGGTGTGGGAGGTGAGGTCTTAGTCCCCCATTCAGCACAACAGCTTCCAGAGGTCGTCTATGGTGTAAGCACCCAGTCCCAGGGGACTTGGGAGGTTCTCAGGATTGCAAGCGTCTGGGACACTGCTCCAATAAGGGCAGGGATACCTTATACCCTAAATACTAATATTTTCAGAGGAGGAGCAGCCGCTGGTTCAGGTATTTGCGAAAGATGCACTGGGAATTCAGCTTTGTAGTTTTGTACATGGGAGTTGGCATTGTTTGCGGTTCTTCCAAGTTCTATGTGAGGCAGGATGCCCGAAAAATGAGCCACGCAGTAGGTGGGTAGGACAAAAAGACTCCCCAATGATTGTTTTCTCCTTTCCAAGAAAAACACAGATCTGCTCACTGCTCTGAGATGAACAGATTCCTGGTTGATTTAAGTCGTCTCTGCCTTCTAAATATGCCACATCAGACCCATGCCCCCCTAAGTGCAGCAGAAGTGGACTGGCCATAGCCCTGGCAAGGAGCCCACGGGACCTACAGAACCCTACAGCAACAGATTTTACCCAGGGAAGGAACTTACGGGGTGCCCCTTCTGCCATCTCAATGGCGGTGATTCCCAAAGACCACAAGTCACTCTGTAAAACAAGAAAGCACAGATACACACATAAATTCAATCAACAGAGGACAATTTGGTTAAACCTGGTAATTACTTCAGCACTGCCTGTGGGGAAGTCAATCCATTGTCTGCTTACAAACCTATTTCTCCCATCCAGCTGCAGAGCCAGAGGAGTCACATTTGCTTTTCATTGCACATATTTTTCCTGGTGCCTGACATATGGGATGTTTCCAATAAATGTATGAAAAATATGTAAGGTTTTTAAAATTTAATTTATTACTGAGATTTATATGGGAGTGGAACCATATGAAATTTTGCTGTTTTCAATCTTCTTAACTTGTATAAAATAATGGGGTTCATGATACTATTACATCTGCCTCCTATCTCTCTTCCATTCTCCCTCCATACTCTCTTTAGTCCTCCTTCCTTCTCCTAAATAGCCCATCTCTCTGCTTTCCTGTCTCATATACGGTTTTTTCATTTAATGTTTTTATTGCGATATAGCTGTTACATAGTTAAACTGCACATGCATGAAGTGTATCATTTGATGAGGTGCGGTACTCCAGTGACTCCACCATCATTGTCAAGGCAGCAAACATCACCTCCAGAAGACTGCACTCTCCCTCCCTTTGTAGGTTTCCCCTTCTTCCCTGTCTTTCTTCCCTCTTTCTAGGTAACTTACCCATCTGCTCTCTGTAGGTTACATCTTCCAACTTTTATAGAAAAGGAATAAGATATTAGGTAGCCTTTTGCATATTTTTTCCCACTTATGGTGGTATTCTTGAAGGTCTCCCTTGTATCACGTTTTGATATTTCATGACTTTTTGTCATTTAGTAGTGTTCTAATGAGTCCTGGAGTTTGATCTCACTTGCTGAGAGATAAGTGGAATGTCTATTCTATATACAACGGTTGCAAACATTGGTGTCTAGGTCTTGGGTACAAGCTTTTATGTAGAACAGGTGGACCGTTTAGTAGGTGTTGATTACATTCAATGTGTGTCATGCTCAAGTTGTCCTTTACTGTGACAGGACAAGGATGAGATATTCTGACCAGGGCGTGTGTCTACATTTCAGTACAGACAACCAGAAGCTCTATAGATTATTTTCAAACTGCCATGAAAGATAGGTCTTAAGCCCTAACCTGCCTTCTTATGTTTGGACTGACTGTCGCACTCTAATCAGAATTTTCCATGGCCAATGCTTCCTGCTTTACCAGAAGTAATCTCCAAGTCTCTCTATCCAGGTGTGGTGATCTGTAAGCATGGCATGGATGATGTCATCAAACAAGGAGGAAACCAATGAGATGAGCCCAGAAGGATGCTTGCTGTTCCCTTGTCTCAGCCAATGGGTGAGAGCACCTATATGGGTCAGGTTCAAGGACTACATTCTGATATCATTAGCCATCACACTCCCAGGTTTTTACGAGTTTTATGCACATTATTCAAAATTCTCCCATTCAGAATGGGTAAGTTACCTGGTAACTTTACTCAAGTTACAGAGATCAAATTGAAGTTTCCTTGCTATCCCATCAAACAAATGTCAAGGGCACAAGAAGATGGGGGTGAAAGGTTATAGTTGGAAGGGAACCATGGAATACATGCTGATTCATTCCCTCCAACTGAATTTCTCAGTAGCCGATGAATGACAGGCAGCCTGCTCCGTATCTGAGCAGAGTCCCTTACAATATACAAAGGGATATATTGGGTGTCTAGCCTGTCACCAAGAGTGCAGTCACCTTAGAGCAAGTAGAATGAGGGCCGTAAGGCACTGGGCTGAGATGCCAACATAACACTGCAGGTTTCCAACTGTTAAGCTCTCACTCTGCTCTTTTTGGATTTTTTCCAGAGCTCCAGACAACATATTTCTTGTGTTGGCTCAGGAGTGTAACACGACAAAGATGAGAACATGGCACTCTTGTACCTGGGTTTACAGTTGGCAGACAAAGATAGTTGCTTGGGAAAAAGAAAACACCTAGGGGCTCCCTGCATGGGAGGTGTCAGGCAGGCAGGAAGGAGAGCCTGGACATGGAGGGTCAGCATCAAAGGTCCCTGGGCTGTTTTGATAGCACTGCAGTGTCCTCAGGACTTGATGTTTCCTCTAGCAGGTTCCCAATAGCCTAGGAACAGAGCAATCCTGCAGCATGAGGAAGTCGGGCTCTCTGCCGCTAACTGCCATGGCAAGGGTGGACTGAAAAGGTCTTCAGGCCCAGTGAGCTTTGAGCTGGAGCTGTCAATTCACACATTTGAAAAGAAATGAAGGCCCCAAGCTGAGAGGGCTCCAGGCCAAGCTTTAGATCGAGAAAAAAATGCGGTGCAGCCAGGCTCACGTCTGTCTCTGAGTTTCTGTTCAAACTTCCCTCCATGGAGGGAGAGGTGGCAAAGAGGACAGACTCATGGGGTTGTGCAAGTTGGCCTCCCCCCAACTCTAAGAAGTCTGCATTCCAGCAGCCTCCTCCTGCTGTGCCAATCACTGGCCTTTTCTCAAGCTAGCCCCTCACACAGGTGACAGCCCTCATGCTGTCTACCAACGTATTACTGCTTTAATGCGGTCTGTGCTCTTCACTCCCTTTGCCTCGACACACACACACTCAGAGTGGCAGGGGCAAGAGAGAGAGAGAGAGAGAGAGAGAGAGAGAGAGAGAGAGAGAGAGAGAGAGAGAGAGAGAGAGAGGAGGATGAGAGATAGAGGGAGACAGAGGGAGTGGGAGAGAGAAAGGAAGAGGTGCAATAAGCCCTTGTGCCACGGGTCTTTGTTTTGGTGAGTGAACAGCACTGGTACATAGTAGACTCTTACTACAGATGTGCTCAATGAATGGACAGGGAGCTATGGTCCAGGCTGTCTGCCGTCTTCACAGATCTCCTTCCCCCAGATAGCAGAGGCCACGAGAAAATGGAGTTGGCTCTCCCATTGCCATTTCTGTTTAACTATCATCACAATGCCAGGTCTTGAGTATTCATCTTTAAGTCAGCAACCCACAAATAATTGTCCCTGATTCTTATTTTGTCCACAGGTGATTGAGATGTTGGCAAAACAAAGGAGCAGAGATTCAGTGAGGTTCCCGTTCCTATGCCACAAAGCCAGCCGTAGCCTCCTAGAGGAAATGTAGGGTGGTAAAGAGAACAAGCTTTCAAATCAGACACAGCCTGATTTGATTCCATGTTCCTGATTTAGAGACTTGCAGAATGCTGCCCAGCCTAGCTTTCTCAATGGCACAGGGCGTGCCAGTGGCATGCATGTTCTCAGGAAGGCTGCCTAACACAGAATCTGGTGCACAACGGAGCTCACACACATGGATTTTCCTCGCCTGTACTGCTGGGTGAGGGTTCCTGGCCTGCTAGTTTTGCTGGCATGGTTTCCTTCCATGCAGGTGTGCAGACACCATTCATTGGCTAATCTGAACCCCACTCGCACCGCCACTTCCATTTTGGAGTATCCCAAAGCTGCACTTACTTATTCTGGCACCCCAGCAGGGAGTTTGCTTTGTGACAAGAACTATGACCAATGATACATACACAAAAAAAGCCTGGGAGCTTGGGCTTTTCCCAAAACAGGGAGCTAACGTAGTTGCTGTCTGGCAAGTTCCTTTCAACTTCTCAGTGCCTTGAATAAAAACATGGTGTCTGGAGTTGCAACATCTATTTTGCAATCTGAGGCAATCTGCCAACTGATGAATGATGCCAGGAAGGTAGGAGGCAGAGTTTGTGAATACACCATGCTCATCACATCAGCTCTGGTTGGCATGACTCTAGACTTCTGGAGATGGAATAAGCATGATTGTAGCTAAAGATATTTGTAAATGATCATACGTATGTGTGTGTGTATATGTATGCATGTGTACATATGTGTATATATGTGTATATGTATGTATAGATGTGTATGTATGTTCATGTAGTATGCATACATGTATGTATGTTTGTATGTATGCATGTATGTATATACACAGAAATAATAGGAGGAAGCATGAAGAAAAAGAGTGTGACTGTGGGGAAATGGGAAGGCTCACCTGCTAATGCTTCCTGGAATTGTATCATAGGAAACAGGAATCATTAGTAAAGAAAAGACCTCCTAAAAACACCTGTTTAAGTCAGAGCCCCCATCATACCATCCAAACAGCCTGTGGATCCTTGTTTAGCCATATGACCAGGTCAGTCACATGACTATTGCTTGTTGAAGACTTTATTTCATATTTTGGACCGGAGTTGTCCCATTTACCAAAAGGGACATATTTATATTCTTAATTCTTGGTCCTATATACCCGAAGCTGCTTGTAAGCTTTGCTTAACTGCCTGTGTTGGGAAGACATAAACATCCCTGACAGGCCTTGTTTAACCTTTAGATAAATTGGTGAATCCCAAAGACACTTCAGAACTTATATAAAGGAGAAAATGCTGCCATTACACTGGCAAGACAGATCACTGGAGGTGAGCAGGGAAGAGAGAAGAACAGAATCGGAGAGTGAGGCAGAGATAAGTTTCCTTTGTGACCATGGTGCGACTCACTTTGGCAGGAGTTGGGCAATTCATTATTTCAGTGGTACCGCGTCGCCTGGCTGGCAGCATGATTAATAGACCATCCCTGTGTGCATTACAAACAGAACAGAGACAAATTCGAGTGCCTCTGAGAAGGCAGGCAAGGCACAAGGTACAGCTCCTGGCTGAGGCCTGGGGACAGTTGGCACGGAGGAGCGTGCACAAAACAAAAGAACATTCTTTCTGGACTGGGCTGCCCAGCTCAGTGGAAGAGAGCATCCCTACACTGAAACTGCCATTCAAGGAGAAGAATGGTGTAGCTAGACACCAGGTGTGCTCTGCCGCAGCCATGGACCTAGCTCTGACACAGCTGGTAACTTGGTGACAAGACCAAGGTAGTTACAGCCTGGAGACCGTTTCCTCGACCACAATGTGAAGGGAATGCATGGCATCTGGGGTTGATAGGAGAATGCAGTAAGTTGATATGCTCCAAGGTCCTAACTCAGCACAGTGCACAAGCAAGCAGCAGACAGACTTTTGGAGTCAATTA